TTTCAGCGCTGTAAAGTGGCAGCGTAGACAAAGCCTAATAAGGGGTTCTTAAATGATCCTTAATTATCATTCACATTTTTCTGATTAAATTCTTCCTTCCAGCTGATTTGGCTCATAATTGTTTTTAGCTTTGTGAAATTGGCCCTATTAAAGCACCAAGTATATATATTATTGGTGTGGACTTTAGTCTGCTCAGACATTATATATGTGATCAGGTCGTGATACATGATACAAATACATGAGAAATAAGAGGGAGACCAAGGATATGGTAGACCCATTACTCAATGAGGAGGGAAAGACAATAGGAGAAAAGCAGCAATGGCCAAAGTGTTAAATGCCTTTTTTGTTTCCGTTTTCACCAAACAAGTTAGCAGTGATTGGATGACTAACATAACATAACATAGTGAACATCAGTGTAAATTGTGTAGGAGACACTGGAGAAAGCCCAGAAGAGAGCAACAAAAATGATTAAAGATCAAGAAAACTTGACCTGTGAGGAAAGATTGAAAAAAAATGGATTTGTTTAATCTGGAGAAGAGAAGACTGAGGGAGGGCATGATAATAGTTCTTCAAGTACACAAAAGGTTGTTATAAAGAGGAGGGTGATAAATTGTTCTCCTCAGCCACTGAGGCTAGGCCAAGAAGTAATGGGTTTATATTGCATCAAGGGAGATTAAGGTTAGACATTAGGAAAAACTTCCTAACTGTAAGGGCAGTTGAGCACTGGAACAAATTACTTAGGGAGCTTGTGGAATCTCTGTCGTTGGGGGTTTTTAAGAACAGGTTAGACAGATACCTGTAAGGCATGGTCTAGATCAGTGTTTCTCAACTTTTTTGATACCAGGCACTGACTTGCTGCCTAAACTGTGTGAGGGAGCCAACCATTGAGAAACATTGGGACCCCACACATATCCAACCCCCCTCCATCTCCCCCCCCCCCGGTTCCCCGTCCCCTGACCCCTATCCACACCTCCGCCCCCTGAGAGGCCCCTCGGGACTCCCACGCTTATCCAACCCCTCCCCCCGTTCCCCATCCTCTGACCACCACCCCCAGAACCTCCGCCCCATCCAACTACCCCCTGCTCCCTGTCCCCTGACTGCCCCCTGGGACCCTCTGCCTCTTATCCAACATCCCGGCCCCCTTACCATACTGCTCAGAGCAGCACGTCTGGCCGCCCAGAGCACCGCCTGGCCGGAGCCAGACACGCTGCTGCGCTGCCCTGCCGGAGCTTGCACTGCAGCATGGCTGCAGGGGAAGGGGATCAGCAGGGGAGGGGCCGGGAGCTCAAGGGCTGGGCAGGACGGTCCCACAGGCCGGATATGGCCCACGGGCCATAGTTTGCCCACCTCTGTGTTAGGACAAGGTCTAATATATAATTGCCCCCCAATGTTGGCTGCACACTTTTTGAATTAGGCAACTGTCATTGATTATGTTTAGAAATTCCAAGGATGTTTTAGTACGGGCAGTATGAGATCTCCAATATATGTCACTCGAATTGTCCCTCATGATCACACATCTTTTTTTTCCCATAGATAGATGCGTAAGGAATTGGTCATCCTGTCCCCTAGTGTGATTAGGTGGTGTGTAGCAGACATCAACTAGTACTCTATCTTGTGCTTTATCCATTATACATTGATCCCTAACATTCAACATCAATAACTTCTGAGTTATTAGTGATTCAGAAACAGGTAATGCCATTTTTAACATAGAGTGCCACTCTCCCTCCCCTTTTGCCCACTTGATCCTGCCTAAATAGGTTATAACCACAGATTTTAACATTCCAATTGTGTGAATCATTCCATCGGTTTCAGTAATAGCAACTAGATTGAATTTATGTTTATCAGTGAGCAATTCCAATTCTTCTTGTTTATTACCCAGGCTCTTAGATTTGGTGTAGAGGCAGTTAAAGAATTTCTACTCTTTAGGTCCTTTGGTTCCTGGATTAATTTTGTTCTCAACATCTCAATTTTGTGCTGAGTATTCATATTGTCCCTCTTTTACTCTCCCCTTTTGCTATTAGTTTATCCGCCTCCTGACTACTCTAGACAGCCTGTTCCCAAGGAGATTGGTCTCCCTTCTACTGAGGTGGAGGCCACCTATATAGCCCCTCTCCCCATAGAGGGTGGACAAATGTTCCACAAAACCAAAGTCTACACCTCTTACCTACCTAGCAATTCACTTGCAGAATTTTCTGCCTTCTGTTTTCCTTTGCTCAAGGTGCAGGAAGGATCTCAAAGAACATAGCTTGGACATTCTTCTTCTTTGGCATGCTTCTGAAGTATTACAGCTTCTCAAAAAAAGCTTTCAAGAATCTTTGTTATAAATTGCTTCATCTTCCTCTGTAATGCAGCTGCTGAGGTAAAACATGGCACTAATTTAACAGCACATGCAGCAAGACTATACAGACTACCATAGGACTGGAAAACTTTGTCAACATTAGGTTTTTTAGCAAAAGTTTCACCTCGTTGCCACCACTCCTGCAGCTCCATTAGAGATAGTTGTGTTAGGCTGCAACAGTAGGAACCCTTGTCTAGGCAAGGCTCCTGTGGCAATTAGTGTTTTTAGCTGTGTGTCACCTAAGTCTGATCATAGCAAGTATGAGTGGCATGGGTTTAGAATCCCAAGAGATCATTGATAAAAAATGTTCAGGACCTAAATTCTAAGCCTAAAAAAGATGGCACTTCCATGAGCATGGTATACCTTAGCACAGTATTGGGACATTGGTTCAATACTGACTCAGGAGAAATTACTCATAACACTTCCTTGCAGAACATTGTTTTTTTCCTTGGTAATCCAAGTATTGTCCTTCCCCAGTCCTAACCAGTTTATGGGGTTGATACTCTCATCCTAAACTCGATTCTTCAGGAGCTAAACAGACAAACAAAGGAGTTTGTCTTTCACCTGGCATGCCTGAGTTAAAGCAGACTCGGGGCCTTCTTTCTAATCCAGCAAACAAGCAGGACCTCCAGTCCACGAAAGGCCCAATCATTATAGGGAAGGATAGGAAGGACTTTGGCCTACTGAGGCCCCCTAAGACTGTGTTCTTTTTCAGAGAAAAGGGTGTAATGACTTTTGAAACCACGAGAAAACCCCTGAGTGGGGGTTGAAGTACTTCTGCCAGAGCCCATGTTGCAGTTGGGATGATCTTTGGTAAATTTATTAGTATGTGTGTAGGTTCTTTTATTGTTTTTAATACCTTTTCTCTGTAATGCTTCTACCTTAAGAATAAAATGTGCTTGCTTAGAAAGAGCTGTGTGTAACTTATAACTGTGGGCAATCATACTGTTATTAGTACCTGTAAAGAAAGAAAGGAGGCATGCTTAGGCAGACTCTTTCTGGAATAACACAGTGAAGACAGGAAACTGGTCAGCCAAGATATACCCCAGGGAGAAGAGAGATGCAGCATTCAATCCGTGATCCACAAACATGGTCCAGGATTAACTGCAGATTTGCAGGGCTCTAGATATAAAATTTGGATCCACATCCATCCATGATCCACATCCGTGGAAATCCATATAAAGTAGACATCCACAGCTTTGCAGGGCTCTAGTTGTGTTCCCATTTCTTTGTTAAAGAAAATGAAGAGGAAGCCCTGGTCAAAGAAAACCTTACTCATTATATTGTATGTGTGAATTATAGGTCAGTTCCTTACCCACTGTTCTGGGGCAATATTCTAGATAAGTTTCAGTATGTATTCAGATAGGACTAAACCCAGAGACCGTCCCTTTCAGAGTCATAAGTGATCTAATCACCACAACAGATAACACAGGCCTCTCTTTGTTACATATTTGGGAAGTTTTCAACAGGGGTGCTGGAACAGTTTTTACAGTGGGGTTGCTGAGAGCCATTGAACCAAACTGTAAACCCTGTACACAAACTACTTCAAGCCTGGGGGTGCTGCAGCATCCCCTGCACTCCTAGTTCCAGCATCTATGGTTTTTAATACTGCAAACCATCAAATTACCCATCTGGGTGAGAGGTTAAGTATAACTGGGAGTCACTGAACTGGTTCTCATTGCCTTTGGCAAAATGATTCCAATAATCATGAGATGGATTTTCAGCGGCAGAGATCAACCATGTGAGAGGGAGTGTGCCCAGGATCTGATAGGTATGGTCAGGGTTATAATTCCTATGCTGCTGAGACCAAGGTGTGTGTGCACATGTATTTATATAAAATATCTCTCCCCAGATTCCTGAGAGGGATTTGCATAGACTGGACCTGGTACGACTGAATGACATGGAAATACCTAAGACAATATTCCATACGAAAGACTGAGATGGCCAGGAAATATGCCAACATTTCCAATTTTTGATGGCAAGATGATGAAAATAACCAGTGATTCAAAAGCTGGACATTGCCATTGACTAGGATGACGGAGTAAACTGGTTTTGTGCTGGAGTCTTGCCTGTCTGCATCTCATCTCCATAGCCATCACTTGGGTTAGTCTCAAAGTTATCTCTGTTTGACAGAAAGGTCCCTGGACTCCCTTTCACTTTTAGTGTTGAAAATGATCTGAAATTATGAAACTGAGGTTACTGGCACCTTGATCCTAACTAAAGGAACAGACCCTGAGTTTCCTTCACAAATACATTCAGTGACCCTCATTTTGGGCCTCTGTCACACAGCAGGTTCCACATTAGGGCCACGGTGGTTGATAGGTAGGCACAAAAAGTGTCTGCTTGGGGCTATTGTGGGGGGTAAATTTCCTTCCACCCCAATCCGGGGGGCAGGCAGAAAGGTTATTGTACAACCCCACAGCACATGCCCCCTCCCCCTCATTGTCTCTTCCCCCCCCCCCCGCAACTTGGGGAGCTTGCGGCTGGGAGGTGCAAGGCAGCAGACAGCACTAGGCGATTGCCTCCAGCGCATCGCTCCTGCCAGCTTCCTTACTCCAGTCCCCCCGGCACGAGCCCCGCCCAGCACGGGCTCCGCCCCCTACTTGTCCCCGCCCCGTTCTCCTCAGAAGCCAGCGTGGGACAAGGCAGCTCTGCGCATGCGCTTGCTGCTGTCTACGCATGCTCGCTGGCGATGTGTGTCTGGCCGGCCGGCTTGTTTGGAGACGCCCGACCTTCGACGCAGCCGAGGGCTGGGGGGAAAGCGCCGCGTAGCCGTCAACGGCGGCAGGAAGGGGGACCGGCCGCGGAGGGGACCCGCTTCGCACAGACCCGCCGACAAGGTGCCTCCTCACAGCCCGAAAGGGACGGGGCCGCTCTGTGTCCGGTTGCCATGGAAACGGACGGGCTGCCCGCCTCACCGCTCATCCCGGCGTCAGGGCTGCTGCATTCCCGCCCCCCCGCCCCCACACGCACGCGCCGGGGCAGGAGTTGATGGAGGCTCCCTGCCCCTCCCCCCACCTTCCACGCGCTGGGGCATGGCGAGAATGCCTTCACTCACTTTGAGGCCTGGGATATTGTTGTTTATTCTTCCCCTGGTTATGTAACGTGTATTGATATAGCCAGGTGCAAAATCTACACCCCCCCACTCCGCCCCTAATCTATGCTGTGATAGTAACAGGGAAGGAAGGACACAAAGGCATGCAAACGAAGGGAAAATGGCCCATCCAAACAAAGTTTACCCATATACAAGGAAGGGCAGGTAGGGTTTGGTCTAGACCAAACATTTAATAAAGTTCTGTGCTGACTAGTTTACAGTGTGAAGACAAGATCAGGGAGCATAAGCTTACTATGGCGTATGGGTGTTTTTTTTAGATAGAGGAACCTTTTGTGTTTAAAAGCAATCTGAAAAAAAACAACCCTCTTATTTTGCTGGTAATTTTTTAATTTTCTCTAAGAGTCAGGTCACCTCTTACTCCACAGGTGCTGGTTATATTGGGGTCTTCGTCTTGGTCAAAATTTCCATTGACTGTGCTAGGAGTTGTTATATTAATTAAGGACTGTAGGATCAGCTCCTTTTGCTGCTGTTCATTCTATTTTTATTGCATGAAATTGGAAAAAATCCTACCATCCTTATTAACAAAATTACACCAAAAATTGAAAGCTTATTTTAATGCTATTAATATGGGCCTGGGTTGTGCCAGAGGTAGTGTTCTAAAATTACACCTTAGCAATGGACAATTAATAGTTTTGTTTTTAACCAAACTATAAACTCATATGCAGTTTTGGTACAGACTGTTTTGGAGACAATCTCTCTACTTGAAAGGAGACCCAAAAGGAGCAGTTGGGAAAGAAGCATGACAATAAAGGAAGCAGGAGGAAGTAAAGGATATGAGAGCAGTGATGTGGGAGAAGTGAGGTTTTGCTTCAGAGCTTAGAAAGATCAAAGAAGGCATCTTCCAGTCTCTTCTGCTGTTCACTTTTATTCATAAATAAATACAAAGGGATAGAAGATACCAGCTTGCATCTTGCTAAATGTTTAATCAAATACTGGGCAAAATATACTTTTTCTTCAATATGTTAGTGGAACAATTCAGTGGTTCTCAACCTATGGGCCACGGCCCAATCCGCACAGAGCTGTGGCCCATGTGACATCCTCAGGGCCATACAGGTAGTACTGGATGTGGCCCAAAAGGGTAAATAGGTTGAGAACCACTCATGGAGCAAAGGATGAACTCATGAGGCTGAAGTTGGCTGCTTATTTGTGGTACCAGCTCCTTATTCATGGTTTCCAGTTCCTTGTTCAAAGGCCAAAATTATTTAAAAATATATCAATGTAGGATTAAATTTTTAGAAGTTTTATCAAATTCATTTGATTGAATGTGACAAATTTAAATGACTAATTATGTAATTGAGACAAGGTGGGTGAGGCAATATCTTTTATTGGATCAACTTCTGTTGGTGAGAGAGACAAATGACTGGTCCATGTGGCTGTCAGAGTGTTCTGAAGGAGATGAGACAAGTAACTCCCTGACCTAAAGCTTTGTTCTGGTGAAATATGCTGCCACGTGAAGCTCTCACCCCACTTCTGTACTGTAAATGTTGACTGAATAAAGAACTGGATTTTGACTGGCTCTACGTGACAAAATAAGTCTCGGGTAACCCAAAGTGACATGTCCCTTAAACCGTTACTCTGTTATGAAGTAGTTGAAACATGGAACTCCTTTACTTGAAACTTTGGGCTGGTCTACACTAAAGCTGTAAGTCGACCTAAGTTATGCTACTTCAGTTACGTAACTGAAGTTGACGTAACTTAGGTCGACTTACAGTGGTGTCTATGCTGGGAGACACTCTTCTGCTCACTTACCTTCTACCTCTTGGGGAGATGGAGTACAGATGTTGGTGGGAGAGTGCTCTGCCATAACTTAGCTTGTCTTCACCAGACCCGCTAAATCGATACCACTGCATTAATTACAGCAGTGCTGATTTAACTGTAAGTATAGACAAGCCCTTTATCTGTATGGAAAAGCATTGCCCATTTCACCAGCCCTCCTCCACCACCTCCAAACACATCCACTCCCTTTATCAGGGTAAAAGGAGCAGCAGACGGATGTTTCAGAAGGTGAAACCTGTGGAACCTATGCTTACAGGTCCAGGGATTTGGTGAGTGTTGTGTTTGTTCCATCTCTTGTCTGTCTGTTCTCTGTGAGGGTGATGTGACTGAGTTGTGGACTCCAGAACTCGCCAGGTGAGGCAGGTCTGTTTGTGTCTCAGTGTGGGCCTTGTCACTGAGACCTTTGTATCTTTGAACAAAACCTGTATTTGATGTTTCTGAGGTGGGTTATTCCCTCCTTGTTTGCAAGGGAGGGGGCTGAGCATTGAGGCTTAGTGTGTAGGTCAGTTGTCAGATGAACAGAAGTGGCAAACCAGATGAGTTTCAGTGGCAGTTTAGAGAGGAAGCGTGATTCTTGTTTTAGGTATGACTCTGCTCCAGGTAGAAAATATGGATGATGCTGTGACGTTTCTTGGATGTGTTATGTTGTCCTTTCTGCTGGAAGACAGAGTAGATTTCTGGAGTGTGAAATCCAAGCTGGTGGCCACACTGGGAGGAGAAGATATGTAGTCTGAAAGCATAAATTGCAACACTGAGGCACCTGAGAAAATGAACACTTCTTGGACAACAGGATTTTGGAAATCATTGTTACAGATGCCGCATGGGGAAGGATCAGTGTTAAGGGAACTGAAGGGAGTAGAAATGAAAGGAATGAGCAGGTTATTTGTGACCAAGAAGGAAATAAGAACTGGGAGGCTCAACTTCACTAGGAGTATCAAACTTAGTAAGCCAACTCCAAAAGAAACTGTCTCTGGAGAAATGGAGAAGAAAACTACAGGGGACACATCTGATGGATGTTCTTTAGGTGTAAAATAAGCAACAACCAAGAGAGCTTCATTATTAGGATATCTGAAGAACTTCTCTTGGGACAATAGGACAGTGTACTGTCTTCTTGAAGTGAAGATACAAGATGTAACTGCAGGATTAAATAGCATTATGAAGTCATCTGGCAAGTCTCCACTGATGATAATACGCATTGGAACTAATGAGACAGTGCCACATGCAACTACACAGATTATGAAAAATCTCAAAAAGAAAAGGAGTACTTGTGGCACCTTAGAGACTAACACATTTATTTGAGCATAAGCTTTCGTGAGCTACAGCTCACTGCATGCATCTGATGAAGTGAGCTTTAGCTCACAAAAGCTTATGCTCAAATAAATGTGTTAGTCTCTAAGGTGCCACAAGTATTCCTTTTCTTTTTGCAGATACAGACTAATATGGCTGCTACTCTGAAAAATCTCAGGCATTTTGGAAGTAAGTGGAAGAAAAGGAAAGCCCAGTTGATCTTTTTGGAGATTTTGCCAGTCCATTGAATACTGGAGGTGATCTTTTGGCTGCATGACTGGTGTGAGGCTGAAGGTTTTGGTTTTGTGTAACATTGGGCCCCATTGCAGTGGGAGAGGGGCCTGTATCTCACAGGTAGAGAGCTAACCTTCTCAGCTGGAGACTAGCTAGAATGGGTTGGATAGTGTTAACACAAAGGAGGGTGCTGAAGAGGCAAATATGATATAAAACTCACACTCAAGATGTTATGAACAAATCTTAACTGATGTGACAAAAAATGCGAAGAAAAGACACTTTTCAGTTGCTTGTATACTTATGCTTGAAGTCTGGGTAGCAAGTAAGAGCAATTAGAAATTCTCATTAATGGGGGGAAATATATAACTGGCATTACTGAAACCTGAAATGAAATGCCTCTTCCCCAGAAAAATCTTTCATCTGCCCTCTCGGTAACACTTTTCCATGTAACTCGAATATAGCATTAATTTTTAAAACATTGTTTCAAATATTGATTAGTTCAGTAGAAGTCATCAAAATCATTTGCATGAACCATAGAGTTCATTAAAGAAAAGTTGTTGTCATTTTAGTTACAAAGTTGTTGGAGATAATGCACAACTCTGGGAATCATTTTGTATGTTTCCACAGACTTAGTCAGACTTATGGCGGGCATTTCTATGGTGGAATTTTGGAATTAAAAAGAAAAGGAGGTGGAGATAGAGTTCTCCAAATTCCATTAAAGTGTACCAAGCCACATTAGTGTTGCCATGAGGCATGTACAGCAGCAAAGATACTAGCAGGTTCAGCTAATTTTAGTATAGAGGAATAGGTTAGTATTTCTTTTAAGTAGTTTGTGGGCATTCTAGTGATGGTCACTGTTTTCTATATTTTAGAAGCCATTAGAAACCACTCAGAGCAGCAGCATGCATTAAGCTAGACTTTGTATGTTTGTATATAGTTAATAAACATGTTTATTTGGGACCCAACTATGTCCAACCAGTGTCTTCATTTTATTTTTGTTATGTAAAGAGCAAAACACACAACTTAAATAAAAACAAATGTCTGTATATCTAACACAAACAAATTTCAATAAATTTAGCCATTTTCCCTATTCTTAATTCATCTAACAAAGCAAAATTCCTGTAGACTTCATTTGTAGCTATTGTTTCTGTGAAAACATTACAGCTGGATTTGCAAGTTGATTGAATACTGCTTCCCCTCCCCCCCCATGTGTATTGCATGTTAACTAACAATGCAAACAAACGATAAAACTGGGAGTAATATGTTTGTCAGACCAGAAATAAAGGTTCAGCGTGGAAAGTGGCATATCCTCATCCCTTCACAATGTAAAACCATCATGGGGACGTATAACTTGGAGTGACCCAGTATGTGTTTTGTCTCAAACAGCCATTCAAAACGCATCTCCTTTTCAAGCCCTATGCACAATGTGGGATGGTGGTGTGATGTTGCAGTATATTGTTCAGGAACAAAGATTCGGATCAGGGAGTGACTTGTCTCAGGTCCTTCAGAACAGTCTGGTGGGTCACAGTGACATGTCAGTTGAGTTGATCCAAGCATTATTTTGTCATGTACAGACAGTCATAACTCAGCTCCTTATTTAATTAATAAATAAGTAATTAGTAATTTAAAATTTTATCACATTAAAACATTAATTTGATGAAATTTCTAAAAAAGAAGAAAAATCTTACATGAATGTATTTTAAAATAATTTTGGCCTTTGAATAAGGAACTGGGAACCATGAGTATGGCAGTGGTACCATGAATAAGGAGCTAACTTCAGCCTCCTGCAGAATTCTGACTTGGATGAGGATGGTAACCTGCTGAAAAATGAAAACTGATGTCTACAAAATCTGAACTGGGATATTGACTGACTTTTTAGACTTAGCAATTTTTGGAAGCAAGTCTGTTGTTCAGTGGCTCTGTAAGGGTACACGTGGGATCATTCTCTGACTTGCAGCTTTAATTCATAATTCATTGTGTAATGTGTGAATGTTTGTTCTTACAAAAGTTAAAGGTTTTTGCTGCTTTTCCTTGGCTCTGGTTACAGTTGACGTTTTCAGGGAAGCGCCTCTTTTAGCTTGTTACAATAGAGAACTTAATAAGACTAACTTATAGTGCTTGTTTTCTAAGTATATGATCAAGAAAGTCTTCTCTTTACGTGCTCTTTGTCTAGTTCTTGCTGTGGTAACATCACTGTGGTGTTCCCTGAATCATCAGGTTTTGGGTGTTGAAATAGTGTTGTTTGAAGTTTTCTATGGTGTCTGGAAACTATTGTGTGTGACTCTGAAAGCATTGCAGCCTCTAAGTGTGGTGTTTTGGTTTTGTTTTTAAACTCCCTCTCCTGCTATCAAAGACGCTCTCTGAGCTGGACACGTTCTACATTTGCAACATTTTCCATAGGATTGAAAAATGAAGAGGGAAGAACAATATTATTTGAACTCCAATGGTGCAAGGAGATTTCTGGAGGTATCTGAGAATATTTTCCCCACCCTCACCCTGGTCTCAAATTTTGTTCTTCCTAAATCCTGTTTTAACTGCATGTGGATAACTGAATTATTTATTAGTGTCTTAATTATTAATCACTTGTAAGTAGTGTTGTATTTTGTGCCTCCTATACACAGTGCTTCCTGTAAAGTATTTTGTAGAAGAATGCATTCTTCAAAGAATAAAAATGTAGAAAAGCCAGAACCATTTTATAGACCTTTAGTACCTAAGCAGAAGACCAGTGCTGAGATAATAAATGAAGCACGAAATGCACTAAGGACTTTAAGAACTCAGAGGCCATTTACACCTAGAGAGGACCAAAGGAAACTTTTTGGATCTGCATCTTCACGAACACCAGAAAATAGACCACCTTCCACTTTTAGGTACAGCCACTTTAAGATTTTTTTATTATATTTTAGCAGCAAAAGGATTGATTCTTTTTCTTTATTATAATGTTTATGGTTCCTTTTTCCTATGTTAGGATGTAATTAGCAGTATAGACACTCATCTTTTTAATGATGTTCACTGGTATTGTTAAACGGTGTGTCCCAGAAGTTCCTGTGATTTGAAACTAACTGTGACAGTCATTATACCAGATTTGGTGTATCTCACCGTTTCCATAAGATTTCTGTTTCTAAAGCCTTTTAATTTTTTTTTTATTTCAGAAAAGTCCTCCTTGAGTTCCAAATGTTTAAACAGGTTTAAGATTATTTTCCTTATGGAATAACTGGTTATCTTCTCCTCTGGTGGGAGAGGCTTGTGGCTTAGCACAGTTCACAGAGGGCAAGATCTTAGTTCTGTGATAGTGGCAGGAGCCAACTGGAGGGATGGCTCCTGCCTTCTCTGGTGTCCCTCTATCCAGCAGCATGGCTTCTGCAGGAGCTGCACTGCCATTGCCTGCAGCCACGCCTTATGACTGCTCAGAAGCAGATGTAGCAAGGACTTACAATGAGTTATACATGTTCAAGCAACTTTAATTCCTTTTCTTCTATCTGTCCACACAATGACAGGTTTCAGAGTAGCAGCTGTGTTAGTCTGTATTCGCAAAAAGAAAAGGCGTACTTGTGGCACCTAAGAGACTAACCAATTTATTTGAGCATAAGCTTTCGTGAGCTACAGCTCACTTCATCGGATGCATAAAGTGGAAAATACAGTGAGGATGTTTTTATACACACAGACAGTTGATAAAAACATCCTCACTGTATTTTCCACTTTATGCATCCGATGAAGTGAGCTGTAGCTCACGAAACCTTATGCTCAAATAAATTGGTTAGTCTCTTAGGTGACACAAGTACTCCTTTTCTTTTTGTCCACACAATAAGTAGAAGAGGGTGTCAGTATTCAGGCAGTCCTTTGATTTCCTCCTCACGTCCACTGAGCTATTCTACTTGACACCTAAGTTGAATAGCATCTGTAGGATTATGGGGAAAGAAGAACAGTATTGCAGATACTCCCACTTGTTTATGAGCAATGGGGGAGAAGATCCTTTGTGGGGAAACCAAATGGGGTCTGGGTTAATATTCTGTTTATGTTCTTTATGCTAGTCTCCACGCTTCCAGTTTTGAATCCGGTGAATCAAGACTGGTTTCTGGTACACGTCTCAGCCCACTGGACCATGTGAGTGCTTATTAGAAAGAATGTTATGTAATGCTGAAATAAATTATTGTGAATTGTACCAACCCACTGTAGGGGTATAAAAGGATTATGTGAAAACTGGTTAAGTGGATGTTTTGCGTGGTTTATTAGAATGGTGGGGATGAGAAAGTAAAATTGATTTCTTGAATTTTTTCCTCAAAAAATGAGAGTGCAAGTTCTTTTTATGGTGCTGTAGCTGTGTTGGTCCTAGAATATTAGAGAGAAACGGTAGGTGAAGTAATATCTTTTTATTGGACAACTTCTGTTGGTGAAAGACAAGCTTTCAAAAAGTTTTTCACCAACAGAGAAGTTGGTTCAATAAAAGGTATTGCCTCACCCACCTTGTCTCTCTAACAGTATTTTAGGTATTTAAGTATTCCTGTGTAGCAGTCTAACCCAATACAACAGCATTGCATTAGTGCTTAAGAACCAGAAGTCGAAAATTGACTCAGTCTGTTTTCATATTTAAGGTAAGTGAAGTGCAAAACACTAACAAGTAGCACTGGCATTGAAAAGGAAATTAGAAATTGCTGGTCTGCAACTTGCAATTGAAAAGTGTGGCTGAGTTATTTATAACATACGGCAGTTCTAGTCCATTCAAATGGTGACATTTAAAATTGGGATAGTTACTTTTAAGAACATATATATTGATGTCTTCTATTGAGAAAATGCTGAATTATTTTATAGATGTGCTAGTTTTGTAGTTGAGATTAGTCTTTAATATGTGACAAGGTAATGGACACTTTAAAAATATTAAGTTGTCTAATGAAGTAGTACAGTGCACACTAAATCAGTAACATCAGTGGTACAGTACAAACATCCTTCAGTAATTCATTGCAGTCATATTTCTGTTCATAATAGCATCTCACACAATATTGAGTTCTTTGGGAAATTTTAGAGTCTATTTCCAATTTCATAACATTGCAATTATTTTGATATATCAAAGAAAAATATATGAACAAAGCACCTTTGTTTAGTTCTTATCTTTAAAATGGGGTTTACACTGTGGGGTATTAGGCATTTTTATACAATTATTGTAATTACTATATTAGTATGATCTATTTAGATACTTACAATCTTTGTGGTATCGTAGCTCTGCAGTATCGTGAGAGTCTCCCAAGTGTTTTACAGGTAGAATAACAAGCTTTTTCTTCCTAACTTGTGTAACACTAAAAGCTCCTCATTGCCAGCTGGCAGAGGGTCCACCGTACTGTAACTCAAATCAGGCCTGACAAACTCATCACTCCCGACACACTGTTGTCATAATATGTATCTAACAGGTGTCAAGCAAGGTATCATGTAAACTGGTGATATGCTGGTCCCCAAAATCATTATGTGATGTATGTACAGGTTGTGTACAGAGTCGTGTTTGTACTCGAAATATGTTCTTAAAATGTGTTTGGGAAGCAGTGCATAAACTCAGCCTGCCATAGACCAAGGACTTCGTGTTTCCTCAGTTTGATTATTGGCAGAGGACATTAAAAGAATATTTACATATACAGTAAAGAAAGCTAGCAAGCAGCAGCTTAGTGAGCACACTGGAGGACAGTCTACACCCCAGGAAGCCTTCCTGGCTCTTGAGACAGAGATAATGGACTTTGGTCAATATAAAGGGTTAATACAGAGATAATGGACTTTGGTCAATATAAAAGGTTAATATAGTTGTTGATCACTTAAGGAACAAAGGGAACAGCACTCTTTGATTCTGTAAACATTGGGTCCCCTGGCCTGGAGGTGGGAGGTGCTGGTAACTAGACGTAAATAAGAAAACTGCTTAGGCAAAAATTGAAATGTGCTAAGATTAAGTTTTAGTCACTAGAAAGTGTATTCAAATTTTTTTGTTTGTAACCATACCTGTCTTTTTTTTTCTCTTGCTTAGTAGCACTTAAACCTCTGTTCTTTGTTAATAAACTTATTCTTGTTTTATTACAAAACCATCTCAGTGCTGTGTATTGAAGTGAAGGGTGAGTCATCAGCTAACCCAGCGCATCATCAAAGATTTACAACCTATCCTGAAAAATGATCCCTTACTCTCACAGATCTTGGGAGACAGACCAGTCCTCACTTACAGACAGCCCCCCAACCTGAAGCAAATACTCTCCAGCAACCACACACCACACAACAAAAATACTAACCCAGGAACCTATCCTTGCAACAAAGCCCGATGCCAACTCTGTCCACATATTTATTCAAATGACACCATCATAGGACCCAATCACGTTAGCCACGCCATCAGTGGCTCGTTCACCTGCACTTCTACCAATGTGATATATGCCATCATGTGCCAGCAGTGCCCCTCTGCCATGTACATTGGCCAAACTGGACAATCTCTACGCAAAAGAATAAATGGACACAAATCTGACATCAGGAATTGTAACATTCAAAAACCGGTAGAACACTTCAACCTCTCTGGCCACTCAGTAAAAGATTTAAGGGTGGCAATTTTGCAACAGAAAAGCTTCAAAAACAGACTCCAGTGAGAAACTGCTGAGCTTGAATTAATATGCAAACTAGATACCATTAATTTGGGTTTGAATAGAGACTGGGAGTGGCTGGATCATTGCACATAGTGAATCTATTTCCCTATGTTAAGTATCCTCACACCTTCTTGTCAACTGTCTAAATGGGCCATCTCGATTATCACTACAAAAGTTTTTTTCTCCTGCTGATAATACTCATCTTATTTAGCCTCTTACAGTTTGTACGGCAACTTCCACCTTCTCTGTATGTGTGTGTGTGTATATATTTGTGTGTGTGTGTATATGTATATAATAATGTTCTTACTATGTATTCCATTCTATGCATCTGATGAAGTGGGCTGTAGCCCACGAAAACTTATGCTCTGATAAATTTGTTAGTCTCTAAGGTGCCACAAGTACTACTGTTCTTTTCGCTAACCCAGTGGTTCTCAACCTGCAGCCCAATCAGCACAAAGCTGTGGCCCACAATGGTAAATAGGTTCAGAACCACTGAGCTAATCTAGTAGGCTGATGTGTACTCTGTCTCTTCAGAGACCGCGAACTTAATAATTTCTATGAGCGTCCAGCGAGACGGACTGGACGTTGCAGGATTATGTCTTTTGGGAACTGGGGTTCACTGGTTCTTACCTTGCGGGTAAGGTTTAGACTAGCAGAGTCTTGAAGTTTCCAGGCAAGGCAGGCAGGCTTTTAGGTTAGGGAGCTGACACACAGCTTAGCAGCAGCAAAGCTCTCACTCTTGCTGAGGCAGAGGGCTAACACAGTAGGGTGTCCAGTGCCAGATGCCACAGCCTATAGAAGCAATAATTTGATTAGTTTATAGTGGGGTCTTTTGGTAGGTTGGTGGGGTAGTGAAAATAAGTTACTGAGGAAAGCCAAGTTAAAGCAGTGAGTTTTTCATTTAGTTTTAAAAGTTAAGAGGTCCGTGGTTGTCATTATCTCTTGTGAGAGTGGGTTCCATAGTCTAGGTCAGGGGTAGGCAACCAATGACACGCAAGCTGATTTTCAGTGGCACTCACACTGCCCGGGTCCTGGCCACCAGTCCGGGGGCTCTGCATTTTAATTTAATTTTTAAATGAAGCTTCTTAAAGATTTTAAAAACCTTATTTACTTTACGTACAACAATAGTTTAGTTATATATTGTAGACTTATAGAAAGAGACCTTCTAAAAACGTTAAAATGAATTATTGGCACGCAAAACCTTAAATTAGAGTGAATAAATGAAGACTCGGCACACTACTTCTGAAAGGTTGCCGACCCCTGGTCTAGGTCCAGCTTCTGTGAAAATTGTCTGCCATACTCATGAGCTTGCCTCTGTTGGTGGAAAATTTTATTGTTCCAGTGGAATGTAGCTGTTGTTGGAGGTCATGGTTATTAAGGTAGTGGGGACAATTTTTTGGGTAGCTAGAGAATTTTGAAGATTAAAACAGAGTTGTTCAGCTGGACTCTATATTTTATGGAGATTTAGTGCAGAAAGCAGAGCCCCGAGGGTGATGAATTCATGGATATCTGAGTTGCTAAGCACATGGACTGCTATGTTGTACCAGATGGAGGTTTTACAGGGTCTGTGGTTTCATCCAGTGTATGGAGTTGCAGTAGCCTAGAGTTCATGGATGTGTGGATCCATGTGCCCAGGACAGTGTATAATAGGAATTGGCATAACCAGTATTAATAGTATTCAAATGGGTACTTTTAATTTTCTACAAATTAAGTCAACTTCCTAAGAAGTAGGACTGCAAATAGCAGGCCTTCTTCGAGATGTGCATACTTAGTGTCTTTCAGGATTGGGCACAAAATTTTGTGATGGAGCACATGTTTAATGTAGATGGCTTATTTAAGGGAAATAAATATTATTTAGATTTAATAAATTGCTAAATTAAAGCTAGTTTATGGCTAATTCTATTAGCAATTGAGTTTTCTCTTGGGACTTGTTTTAGACCTGCTTTCCTCAGTGCCTATTTTTGTTGGCTCTCTCTGGTCATACTGACATATTTGGTCTAACTTGTTTTGTTGCATGGAATGTCTTATGATTTTTGTTAAAGAAAATTTAGATTTTTTTCTGGTTGCTGTGTAATTCTCACCTAAAGTTAGTCAGAAGTTGGAAGAAAATATATGGTGAATGTTACAAAGTTTTATTTTGCTAATTTTAGTTTATATGGAAATACAAATGGGATATAACATTTGTATAAACTGATCTTCATCTTTCTTTGTAATAGAAGCCAAAACTACTTTCATCACCTATAAAAGATGAAGATTCTTCCATTTCCTTCCCGAAGCCTCCAGTGGACCCAATGGAGGTTAGGAAAGTCAGCTGTGCCCGGGCTCGCTTATATAGAACAGCTTCTCAGGGAAATCTCATTCCGGATAAAATATTTCTTCCTGATGAGAGTAAGAGCATTTCAATGTAATTCAAATATCTAAGGTCTGGTCTACACTGGCGGGGGCAAGCTAAGTCGGTCTAAGTTACGAAACTTCAGCTACGAAAATAGTGTAGCTGAAGTCGACGTACTTAGAGTTACTTCACTGCGGTGGGTCGACTGCTGCCGCTCCCCCGTCGACTCTGCCTACGCTTCTCGCTCCGGTGGAGTACCGGAGCTGATGGGAGGGCGCTCGACAGTTGATTTATTGCGTCTTCACTAGACACAATAAATTGGCCCTGCTGGATCGATTGCTCCGGAGGTAAGTGTAGACATGCCCTAAATCTAGAGCCATGTGATGTTTTAGAGTAAAAATTTCAAAGTACCTAAGTCCCATTTTAAAATATAACTTAGGTGCCTAAATCCCCATTGACTTTCATTTTTGAAAACAGGACTTAGGCTCCTAAATCACTAGGCTCCCATGTGTCTGTTGCTTAAAGTCAATTTGAGTGGAAGTGATCATGAGATTATAGATTTCATGAGTCTAATGAAAGGAAAAAGTGACAGCAGCAGAATAAGGACAGTGCACTTCAAAAAAGCGGACTTTAACAAACTCAGATAACTGGTAGGTAAGGTCTCACGGAAAGAAAAGCCAAAGGAAAAAGGAATTCAGGAGAACTGGCAGTTTCTCAAAGAGTTTGCTGTTGTACCTTTAATATTGTCTGTCCCAATGTGAAGGAAAGATAGGAAGGATAGTAAGAGGCCAGTAATGCTCCATTAGGAGCTCTTTTATGACCTGAAAATCCAATGTGATGCAGTGGTGAAAAAGGCTAATATCATTCTGTGCTGTATTAACAGGAATGTCGTACGTAATACATGGGAGGTAATTGTCCTGTTTTTGCTTGGCACTGGCCTCAGCTGGAGTACTGTGGTCAATTCTGGGCTCCACGTTTAAAAAAATGTGGACAGGTTAGAGAGCGTCCAGAGGAGAGTAACAAAAATTATAAAAGGTTATGAGGAAAGGCTAAAAAAACCTTGGCATGTTTAGTCTTGAGAAAAGAAGCCTGGTAACAGTCTCCAAATAGGAGGCTCGTGTTCAATTGTTCTCCATGTCCACTGAAGGTAGGATAAGAAGTAATGATCTTAATCTGCATCAAAGGAGATTTAGATTAGATAATAGGAAAAATGTTCTTACTATAACGATAATTAAGCACAGGAATAAGTTACCAGGGGAGGTTGTGGAATCCCCATCACTGAAGGATTTTTAAGAACAGATTAGACAAACACCTATCAGGGATGGTCAAGGTGTACTTGGTCCTACTTCAGGACAGGGGGCCAGACGAGATGACCTCTTAAGATCCCTTCCCAGCCCTACATTTCTGTGATTATGTGCACCCTGTTATGTGGTTTTATTTGTGTAGGTTTATACAAACTCTAAATATGGTAAAGTGTTAACAGTAGTTTATTGTGGGGAAGGGGAGAACTATTTGATGCATTGCTATCCTGAAAATAAGTTACAGAAAATCAATTAAAACTTTGTAATGAGGAGTCATTTGGAATATAAAAATGGCAAGATATTCAGTATAATAATCAAACTGTAATGTGAGGCACAGAGTGTATGCCAGTACCAATCTGTTTATCCCATTTTTGTTCTTACTCCAAAATAAGCATATAAAGAGGCACTCTACAATATGTGCTTCTACCATGTGATTTTATGCCCTCCTATCATGTGCCTATCTACAATCTGATCCATAGATCCCAGCACCATGATATTGCTTTGTTGTCTGGTTAAGGAGAAGAGAATTTAACGGTGGTGCAGCCTTTATTTTGCAGGAGTAATACATTTTTCAGTATCAGGGAAACATTTACATTGGCTTTAGTATAGGTTCCTTTTGAGGACATGTTAACCTTGAGAGTTTTCCTTTAATCTTGATTGTACCTACTGTTTAAATTACTTTTTATATCCAATTTCTGGTTGGTAATCTCAACCTTAATACTGAAACACTTCCTAGTTCTAAGCAGAAAGAAAAGTTTCAAAATAATTGAAAGGCCAAAAGCCTTAAACTATATTGAGTATCTTTAAAAATTAGGTTTTTTAAAAAAGAATGAAATGTGTCTAAAAAGATCTCTGATACAGAGTAGAACATTGTGTTTTAGTTACTTTGATAGATTTCTCTAATTGATGTCAGCTTACTGCGATAATAGGAAAGATGGTATGAAGTAAAAATTCCTATATTACATTTTAAAGACCCCTTGCTGTGTTTTCATCTTGTACGAACATTTTTGCAAAACATTTTATTCCTGGTTTTTGCAGATAAGGAGGGGGTAAATTCTGAAGAACCAGCTACCATGGATGATCTTTCAAGGAGAAGTAATAAAAGTTGTTTTGCAGAACTAAGTCCACACTCCATTTTTAAGGATGATGGTATTCCACTAATTTACAATAAGCATAATACGGCAGAGGACCAAGACTTCTTAAAAGGGGCAGTAGCAACATCTCCATTGCAATTCAGAAGTGGAAGGTCAGTATTTACTTTTTTCTCTTTCCAGTCACAGTTAATTGCATAATACGTCGTGTGTCAAAATATATAGAACTGCTAGAATTCAAAGATTTTTTTTGTTTTGTTTAAATTCATTGGTATTACTATATGTAAATGATTTATCAGTAAAAACTTATCATTTCCCTCCCTCAACCTAAAGAGATTTATTCCTCTTGTGACAAAAGTAAAGTTTAGTTCAATATAGGTAAGGATACCTGCTTGACATGAGAAGAATGAATGAAATAGATGTATATGTGTTCTAATTTCATTTGATCACTAACATTTCAAAGCTGTGGGTCTGCTAGTAACATTCAGAATATATTGTTGGGTTTAAAATGACTATATAGTCACTGTCATAAATATAAAGGGAAGGGTAAACCCCTTTGAAATCCCTCCTGGCCAGGAAACCTCCTCTCACCTGTAAAGGGTTAAGAAGCTAAAGGTAACCTCGCTGGCACCTGACCAAAATGACCAATGAGGAGACAAGATACTTTCAAAAGCTGGGAGGAGGGAGAGAAACAAAGGGGTCTGGGTCTGTCTGTAGTCGTCTTGGCCAGGGACAGAACAGGAATGGAGTCTTAGAACTTTTAGTAAGTAATCTAGCTAGGTATGTGTTAGATTATGATTTCTTTAAATGGCTGAGAAAAGAATTGTGCTGAATAGAATAACTATTTCTGTCTGTATATCTTTTTTTGTAACTTAAGGTTTTGCCTAGAGGGGTTCTCTATGTTTTGAATCTAATTACCCTGTAAGGTATCTACCATCCTGATTTTACAGAGGTGATTTCTTTACTTCTGTTTACTTCTATTTCTATTAAAAGTCTTCTTGTAAGAAAACTGAATGCTTTTTCATTGTTCTCAGATTCAAGGGTTTGGGTCTGTAATCACCTATGCAAATTGGTGAGGCTTTTTATCCAACATTTCCCAGGAAAGGGAGGGGTGCAAGTGTTGGGAGGATTGTTCATTGTTCTTAAGATCCAAGGGTCTGGGTCTGTAGTCACCTAGGCAAATTGGTGCGGCTTTTTACCAAACCTTGTCCAGGAAGTGGGGTGCAAGGTTTTGGGAAGTATTTGGGGGGAAAGACGTTTCCAAACAGCTCTTCCCCAGTAACCAGTATTTGTTTGGTGGTGGTAGCGGCCAATCCAAGGACAAAGGGTGGAATATTTTGTACCTTGGGGAACTTTTTGACCTAAGCTGGTAAATATAAGCTTAGGAGGTTTTTCATGCAGGTCCCCACATCTGTACCCTAGCGTTCAGAGTGGAGGAGGAACCTTGACAGTCACTTTTACACCTCACAGCCACATTGCTACACATTCTATGCTCCCAAGCTTCTTATCTTCATAGAAGTTGCATGGAACAAAAATTGAAGATAAAGGGGAGAAAAAATAATCTGGGTACTTTTTGGTGCTAGTGTCCCTATCAACAAAAGCAAAATGTATGTACGAGTATGTGTGTGTATGTGCACCCATACTAGATTCTGAAGTGCTTTCTTTAAGTATATTTACTGTACTCTCTGGTGGTGGTTTTTTGTTTTTTTTTAATAGCTTTACTTTCATCTTCATACTGCAGAGAGAGAGAGTCGTAGGGTGGCTTAACAGGTACAGTGTTTCAGCAGACAAATAAGACTGTGCTTACAATCCATTTCTACTGTATCTTGACTGTGATGTCCTTTGTACCATTACCACTTGTGTAACACTCAGGCCATGTCTACACTACCCGCCGGATCTATCGATCCCTGATTGCTCTGCCATCGACTCCGGAATGCCACCACAGCGAGAGGCGGAAGCGGAGTTGACGGGGGAATGGCGGCTGTCGATCCCGTGCTGCGAGGACGCGAAGTAAGTGATTCTAAGTCGATCTAAGATACGTCGACTTCAGCTATGCTATCTCGTAGCTGAAGTTGCGTATCTTAAATCGATTCCCCCCCTCCTCCCTCCAGTGTAGATCAGGCCTCAGTGGCATTGAATTCACTAGTATTATCAGCCTGCCATTTCTTTCTTTTGCCCACTAGTGGATGTGGTATACTAGGATTTAATCACTACCTTGGGCAAGCAACTACTTGGTGCGCTCATGACACTGGCACCTCCTACAGTCTCTACAGATGACTGATGCTTTTGATGCTTAGGTGAGAAGATCGCTCTCCTAAGTATGTATATTTTGGGTACTATGATGTGGCAACTATTATTAAGATTACTGTCACAGTAACTACTGTATATCTACGCTGAAATTATTGCTACTATATTAATAAAATGTTACAGTAAACTTGTTAGCAGAGTTTGTAATAAGTAGCTCTCAAAATTCATCATAATGCACAATTTCTGCTACTGTAAGATGATGATCCTCTAATTCTAAGCCTGTTAATAGTACTGGATAATTTGGAGAGTATCATGTAATGAAGCTGTTTCAATAACTCCATAATAAAGCAATTCTAGCTCTCCCCCTTCTACCCCGATCTTTGAAAGAGGGAGCAAAGGGAAAGAAAATCTGAAAGAATGTGGGGTTAGGGTCAGGGAGGTGAACAGAGATTACTGAACACTGTGTGGATGTGGATGTATCTATCTATATATGCCTGGAAATTAGTTATGGTTCCCAAGAGGGTCCTAACCACAAGATGTGTGTCAACTACTGTTCTTAATAATTGAGAAGAATGAACCTCAAACTGAGTGATAATTGTAAAACTAGCAGGCATGCTAAAATAGTTAAGTTCTGTACAGTGAGCTAAAATTATCTTGTACAAAGTTATTTACTTACCCTTTATTAAATTAATTCATCTCTACAGCTTTTATACAGCTTGCTGTACATATGGCACATTATACCATATACTGAAATGTATATACATGTATACGTATACATATACTGAAATGTCCAGTAGTTTGAACCACAGAATGTTCTGTTTTGCTTATAATAATCATTACAATTCAGGTGGTGACTAACTACTGTATTGAACTATTCTTAAAGACTTGTTTTTTAAAGATGGGTTGATGCCTTCCAAGACCCTTTGTTTATGCTGATATGAAGAGCCGTCCTTTTACTTAATAGGAGTTTTTTCCATGTAAAATATGTTTCCAGTTTGTTCAAATACATGTTCTTCTGTTTTTGATTTATTCTGTTCGTGGACTGTGATTTCTCATCTCTTCTTTATTCTAGATTTTCTTTTCATTTCACTCCTCCCTAAAACTCTCAAGCTTGCTAAATGTAATATTTTTTCACTTCTGAGGATGTGATGTGAAGTTTCAATAAGTACCAATCCATGGATCCTCTGGCAATTTTGGTTGTAAAAATGGTGTAGCTGGCACAGCCTCTCACAAATGAAGTATTGCCACATTAACGTGCCCTTTCAAGTCTTGAAGGTGCTTATGGTTTTGAATCTTTGTCATTACATATTGCAACTTGGATAGTCTAATTTAAAAAATACAAACCTAACATTATGCTAGGCTCTATCCACTGCTGCTGTTTGAGAATGTCACATCAACGAACAAATATGTATACATATGTGTATATATAAATACAATTATCCAAAATTCCTTTCACTATAAGAAAATTGCAGCAATCCCTTTCTTTCCAACCAGTAACAACATTATTATTATGATTATTATTTATTTAATAATATATTTATATTAACCTAGCATCTAAGAGCTCCATTCATGGATCATGAACCCATTGTACTAGCACTGCACAAACAGAACAAAAAGACAGTTCCTACCCCAAAGAGTTTGCAGTCTAAGTACATTTCTTCCTTCCCTCAGACCTTTTGCAAATGCTCGGGGGGGGGGAAACAAAACACTTTGTAGATGTAAAAGAATATCTGATACTGAGCCATGAATAACTAAATTGTTCTCCCCTGGCAATCTTCAAATACAATAAGCGTGTATTATGGACAGTGCAGTGGTGGGAACTATGTCCTTAGCTATTGATATGATATAATAGAGATTAATGAGTAAAAGGGAAGAGACAAAAGAGCTAAACATTTTATTAAATTTGCAGCTGATTAGTGACCAGGGGAGGAGGCCAAGTACTTGATGTCAAAATTATCTTCAGAAAATGGTGTTGTTTCTAATTTCCCTACTCTGAAATCCTTATATAACTTTAGAGCTTGAATGAATAAAAACCATTTAAAGGGTACGTTGGGGGCTTATTCCTTCACCCACTTACTTCCCTGGTCCTTCTCTCATGAACAGAGAGCAACAATACCCGAAGTTCAAAGGTGCAAACAATTTGATGTTTATTGGGGTGAACTTCCCGCAAGCATGATTCCAGTTTCCTTCCTTAGTGTCCACCTTCCCAGCTGTGACACCACAGAGCCTTACCTGTGTCCCTGTTCCCATTTCTGCCCTTAGCTAAACATGATTTCCATTTCCCCCCCACCCACTCACTTCCTGATTGACTGCAGACTATATAGTAAAACTTGAGTTCTGCTTAGCTATACCTTAACCAATCATTTTACTGAAATTTAACTAACCAATCCTGACATATTGTAACATGATTATTTAACCAATTATATCCCACCACCTTAATTAGTTTACACCCAGCAAAATTAATTATACAGCAGACAGAAACAATCACAGAACCAGACAGAGATTATACAGACAAACAATAGGGAAATGGGGACTACAGTGATAGAACAACAAAGAAATGAGGATTTCACATCCCAGCTATTGATAAGTGAGTTCTTGCCAGACAGGATGCTATCAAACTAAGTTTCCTTTTACATCTTCTAGGCACTTCCCTTTCTCTGGAGGTGATAGGCATTATCAGGACAGGATTGTATTCCTAACAGCCCAATAGCACCTTATTTCAATGTGACTAGGTTGGAGTGTGAGGATGTGACCGTTCGCTTCCAAGCTTATGGCTGCCTCTGCTGCTTAGCCAAAGGCCTTAGCCTAAGAACAGGGCCTCAGACTGTCACAGTAAGAGAAGGCCCTTACACCGGCAGACAGTGATTTTGATTGTTTCTTTTATACCTCTATAACGAGCCAAGTGATAAGAATACACCTAAATTCTTAGAGTATAGGCCTTTACAGACAGGCCTGAATATCTATATCCTAACAGGGTAACTAATAACTTATCAGAGAAGCATGGATTTTCAGTAGAGAAGATATATCTAGGTCACAGGATAAGACTCTTCTAAATTATATTCCAGAAAATATACATGCTCTGATTCAATAATTAAACCTGCAGAAAGTGTGAGAGAGAGCTAGAAAAATATACAAATAATACAAAACAAGGGGGGAGGGAAGGAATCAGTTAACTTTGTTTTCTTCAAGTAGGTCTTCACATGTGTTGAGAATTTAAGTTGGCAAGATTAATTCTCAATAAAATCTTGTTGGCTTCATTTCTTCTTTGTGATGTATCGCTGAATTGGCTGTAGTTTTCATGCTTGTCCATCCTTTTAACCTGGTGGTTAGAAGCCACCTATCACTTTGACCATGGAAATCTGCCAGAAAATCCTAATAATTTACAGCAGAAGCCAAGTTTGAGTTAGGGAAATAAATAGCAGAGGCAACTAAACCTGAATAATCAAAACACTCAGTATCTTCAGTTAGAGCTCTAAGTACTTGTCTTAAGACAATTAGGGAAAATCTGGTTTCCAGTCATTTTGTTCTTGAGCAAGTTTTCTCCAACACAGGAGAGCTGTACAGTAGGAGTTTTTTCCTCTCCTTTGTATTAGACCTGTGTTCTTAAGTTGCAATAGGTGCAGAGAAGGGTAACAGAAATGGTTAGGGGTATGGAACAGCTTCCGTGTGAAAAGGGACTAAAAAGACTGGGTCTTTTCAGCTTAGAAAAGAGACGGGGGGGGGGGGATATGATAGAGATCTATAAAATAACGAATGGTATGGAGAAAGTGAATAGGGATGTGTTATTTACCCCTTCATGTGACACAGGACCTAGGTCACCCGATGAAATTAATAAGCAGCAGGTTATGTACTTCTTTACATAACGCACAATCTGTGGAACTCGTTGCCAGGGGATATTGTGAAGGCCAAAAGTATAACTGGGTTCAGAAAAGAATTAGCTAAGTTCATGAAGGATAGGTTCATCAATGATTATTACTACGTTTTAGTCATGGTATTTTTTGGAAAAGTCATGGACAGGTCATGGGCAGTAAACAAAAATTCACGGACCGTGACCTGTCCATGACTTCTACTATATGGCCCTGACTGAATTGGGGGCGGGGGTGGAGGGTTTTCACGGGGGGCGACATGGCAGTGTTGGCGGGGGTGGGGGGCGTACACGGCCTGGGACCCCTGCTGGTGCTGGGTGGGGAAGGTGGTGGCATGCGGGCCGGGATCCCTGCTGGTGCTGGGGGGGATGTGGGTGGCTGGACCAGCAGGCTCCCTACCTGGCTCCATGCCTCCCTGGAAGCGGGGACATCACCCTTGCTCAGCTTCTAGGCGGAGGTGTGGCCAGGTAACTCTGCGTGCTGCCTCTGCCCAGAGTGCTGGCTTCGCAGCTCATGGGAGCTCTGGAGGTGGTGCCTGCAGTGAGGGGGATGTCTCTGCTTCCGGGAAGCCCCCCCAAGGTAAGCACCTCCCAGAGCCTGCTTCACCCCATCCCGTCCCCGTGCCCCCTCCCACACCCAAACTTCTGCTGCTGCTCGGGGAGGAATGCGGTGGCCCGAGACTGCCCCAGCAGCGGCCTATCGACTGGCTCAGGGGCTGCCTGAGGTGCCCCCAGGCCAGGCGCATCAGCCGATGCGGAAGTCACGGAGGTCACAGAATCCATGACCTCTGTGACAAACTCGCAGCTTTAATGATTATTAGCCAAGATGGTCAGGGATGCAACTCCATGCTCTCAATATCCCTAAAGCTCCAAGTGCCAGAAGCTGGGACTGAATGAC